AACTTGACAGATCCCAAAATGGATGTTAGCTCACAGAAGAAGCCTTCATTGTTTGAAGATGTCCACGAAATTCTAGAAACGTGGGAAACAAGCTCCCACCCCATGTGTGTACTGGTGATGTACACAGAGACATGTTTGAGGTCTCAGAGCTTTTGTTCTGTCTGCTGATGACAATGGTCATGGTTCCCAGTGGTGGTTCCCCAGTTGTTTAGATAAGGCTGACCTGGTGAACTACTGAACACTGATCTTTGGTGGTCTGCTGTGAGAGCTGCATGGTGAATGGTGAGCATTAGGAGGTGGAACAGAGCTGGAATTCAGGTGTCTTTGATGTAAGCACGTATTTGGAAACATTCAGAGGTGATGGAGAGTGGAGCCCATACTGTAGCCTTGAGACTTAATCAGTCTTGTCCCAATGATTATAATAATGGTGACGGCAGTGATAACATTTGCTACATGTGAGTTGAGCACTCTTGTAAGCATTTTATTTCATTTAGTATTTCCAGCAGCCTTTGAGGTAGTACTCTTATCATTTTCCCACATTAAAGGTGAGAAAAGTGAGGCACAGAAAAACTTGTCCAAAGTTGACACCAATAAATGTCAGAGCCCATGTTTGGTAAAAAAGGGAACAGGTAGGGGCGCCTGGGTGGCTCAGTCGTTAAGCGTCTGCCTTCAGCCCAGGTCATGATCCCAGGGTCCTGGGATCGAGCCCCGCATCGGGCTCCTTGCTCTGCGGGAAGCCTGCTTCTCCCTCTCCCACTCCCCCTGCTTGTGTTCCCTCTCTCGCTGTGTCTCTCTCTGTCAAATAAATAAATAAAATCTAAAAAAAAAAAAAAAGGGAACACGTAGGGACTGCCCATTTTGGCCCCCATCTCAGGTTGGAAATGTACTCACTTAAAGGTTGAACACACTAACAGCTAATTTATAACTCTAGAAGTTATTGTTATGTACAATAATTTATAACTCTAGGATTCATTAAATTACTTTCACAGTGGGATTAAGTATAACAGCAAAACAGATCAGAATCACTTACCTACCACTGAGCAGATTCTCAGCTTGGGAGGCAAAAGTTGTTTGGGAAGTGACTCAGAACATGGCTTGGGGTTCAAGGTCAGAACAGAGAGAATTAAGTCCTTTTGAATTAGAGACCTTGCTTCTTCTCTTTCCTCTCTCTCTCATCTTGCATGGCCATGCTTTTGAGTCCACAAATCAGTGTAACAGGTGCTCTGATACTGGAAAGGCATTACCAAAGAAGTTCTTTCCTTCCAAATATGTTTTTCTAGAGTGCTTATATTGATGGCATTATTTTCTAGTGCTTCTTCCAATATACTTTTGTTAATTTTATTTGGAGGCAATTATGCTTGACTTTGCTGGACTAGTTTATTTCCCATGGCCACTCTAGCATTTCCCACATCTTAGCACTGGTTACCCCTGTACATCTTCTGTATCAATATAAGATCTAGAGCACTAATTCCTCTTCCTAAGGAAGCATGTGGCTGCCACTTTGCCTTTTGAAGACAGTATCTTCCAGGAATCCACTTGCTCCCTTAGCAAGGTCTTACCAGTGATGGATGGGGTCTTCCACTGAGGGAACATGCAACAGCAAAGAAGAAAGATCAGGTAGGTGTTTCCATTTCATTGCTCCCACTGTGTAAAAATGACATTTGCTTCTTCTGAAGGCCACCTGAGGCCTTAGGAGAGTAGGCAGAGGCAGGCAGCAAGACTGGGCAGGAGTCCAGGGGCCAGGGGAGATGTTGGCAGAAAGAGAAAAAGAACATAGTTAGCTGTTTTACCAATGAAAGGTTGACTGTTTTACTTATTAATGTAATTTAGTTGAATTTTATGAATAGTGTTTTTTTTTTTAATTTTTCTTTTCCTGGTTATAAAAGTAATGTAGGCTCTTCAGTTAAAATAAAAAATTTAAAAATCCAAATGTGATAAAAATATGTTAAATAGAGTGAAAACTTCCCCATACTGTACATCCCAAGATAACCATGGCCAGTGTATATTCTTCTAGATTTCTTTCCATGTGAATTCTAATTTGTAATCTTCCTGTTGGTTTATTAATAGCGTTACATTGATAGTGTTGCATTTGTGATTGCAAGTGGCTGTGAGTTGTTTTCTGGCTTAGAAATGGCATCAAAATGCCATGGTGGGGAAGGGGCACCGTTGGTACCCAGTCATAGCTCATTCCCTGAAGGCCCTGCAGAGCTCCATGTGTACAGTGCACACAATCTTCTGGGGTTCTTTTTCAGATGTGGGTTCTGATCATGTAGATATGTAGTGGGCCTGGGAGTCTGCATTTCCACTAGGCTCCCAAGTAATGCCATGCTGCTGCTTGGCAGACCCTGGTTTGAGCAGCAAAGGGCTAAGTTTTGCCCCTTTGATTTTGTGCCCAAGGAGAGCTGGTATGAAACTTCCAGCTTGTTCACATGCATGTGAATGAGCTGATAATCCCATGTCTTACAACTGCATTCACAGCTTATGACCACAGTGCCCGTGGTTGTAGGCAGTCATCCAGAACCATCAGTAACCGGTAGTCCTAAAGAATAAGAGGTCCAATGTTATCATCCAAAAATGTCGATTAAGCACTTTATGTACTCTCAAATAGTTAGAGCCTGTGCTTATGGGACAGGGTAATCCCAGAGTGGCGTTCAGTACAGGCAGCACTATGATAAAATAGAAAGGAGCATGGAGCAAAAGGAACATTGTCCAAGAGTTGCTTCTGTTTTCTTTGGAGCCCTACAGTCTGTTGTCTCATTTGTGATGTTAAGTGGTCTTCTGTATTCAAAAATGTATACTTTTATTACCAAACCACTTTTTTTGTTTATTTTTCATCTGTGTTATAAAAGTGTATTTATGAGGTGATGAAAATGTTTCAAAGTTAGATTGCAGTGATGACTAAACAACTCTGAATACACTAAAAACCGTTGAATCATACGCTTTAAAAGGGTGAATTTATGGTATGCAAATTATCTCAAGAAAGCTGTTTGTAAAAGAGAAAAAGTATATTTAAACAAATCTTTTTTTTTTAAAAGATCTTATTTATTTATTTGTTAGAGAGAGAGTGCACACACAAGCAGGGGGAGGGGCAGACAGAAGGAGAAGCAGGCTCCCCGCCCAGCAGAGAGCCTGACCTGGGGCTCAATCCCAGGACTCTGGGATCATGACCTAAGCTGAAGGCAGACGCTTAACCGGCTGAGCCACCAAGGCGTCCCTATTTAAACAAATCTTTAAAATTCAAATCTTGGTCAGGACCAGAATCCAGAAGATTCTGCCCTAGAGTGTCAGGAGGCTGCTTTGGAGCACTCCACCAGCTGCTCCTCCTCCTTCCACCATTTGCTGCCCCGCCTCGTCCATGCTCTTCTGTGAGGGCTGAAAGCTCCAGCTTGATCTTGCTTCTCCACTTGGGCTAAAACATACATGCTGGTGGCGATTGGGAAAATTGCCTTTGGGTGAAAATGTGGAAGCTGGCTGCCAGTGGGATCCTAAATGATTCTAGTTCCTATTCAATTCAAACTTACTGATGCCAAAACTTGTGATAGTTGTGGGGCAGAGGGGGGTGTTTGGAATTGAGTCCTGTATGTGTGACATAGATGGCTGCTATGCACATCTGAATTTGAAGCTTGAGATGGTTGGAGCAACGAAGAAGGTCTTAAAACCAACATTTTAATGTTACTTTTAAAGACTTTTTTTCTGACTTTAAAGTGGTACATGTTTATTGCAGACCATTTAGGAAAATTTTTCAGTCTCTGCATGATCATCAAGGCTTCTTAAAATTGCAGATTCCTCTTAGGGTCATGAGATCTAGCCCAGCATCATTAGGCTCTGTGCTAAGCAGAGAGTCTGCTTCTCTTCCTTTGCCCCCCCAATAAACAAACAAACAAACAAACAAACAAATCTTAAAAAAAAACCCTGCAGATTCCTCAGCCTTGCCATAGACCTTGAACTAAGTTGAAGCCCCAACTTAGTTCGTAGGCATGTTAAACTTTCAGAGCCTCTTGTGTTGACTATACCAAAAAAAACTATTTAAAACATTTTGAAACACTTGTAATTCCATCTTTTCAAGATTGTCACTGTTGGAGCTAATTCCCTATAGTAGTTTTCCCTCTGTATGTGTGTTTGTCTTTATTACGTTTTTATAAATTGAGTTCACATTGTATTTATAGTTTGATACCTGCTTTTACACCCTGCTTAACATTATATCCTAAGCATTTTCCCATGTCATTAATATTCTCTAGAAACATGTTAAGTAAATATTTGACTCAGTCCATTTTACCCTGTATCATTTAAAAAAGCTTGTCCCAGCTCAGGACATGGGCATGTGGGAAGCCTTTTCTTGCTGGACCCCTGTTTTATAGATTAGCAGAAGGGTTTCAACTTGATATTTATTCAGTCTTTCTTATGCAGCATTAGGTAGGAGCATTAGAAGGGAATGTAAATTTTTGTGTCTCCTTAGTTTCATATGCAGATAATTAGCTCACTGATAACTTATTCTGTTTGGGATTTCCAGAAAATGTTCCATTTTTACTTTTGCCCTGAAGTGAATTGTAGATGTTATAAACCACTGTCTAATCTGTGTTTAAACCCATCCCTGCCTTTGACACCAGGGTACATAGTAAGTGGGTCTTTTGTATGTGATTTTAACTTAGATTATTAATCGTTAATAACAAATGGCAACTACAAAATGAGCTCATAGGTTCACTTTCTTTAAACAGCAACAATCGTGATTACAGTGTTTATTAATCTAAATACATTTCAAGTTTTAGGTGACCACTTTGTATCAAAAAAATCTGGCAATCAGAAATAAATTTAGTTATCTGCAAAATACATTAAAGCAATAGTCCTAAATTCCCTAGGTCTAGATTTATTCTGGGTATGGTGAATTATGAAGTTTCAAGAAGGAAATATGCAAGGCATTTTGTATTTTTTCCTGGCTAAACTTTACAAATAATTCACTTGCAGAGAAGAATAAAATGGTCATCTTCTTTCTTCTATGACAGATGCCAGAGATGCAGAGCAATTGAGCAAGAACAAGGTGACACACATTCTGTCTGTCCATGATAGTGCCAGGCCTCTGTTGGAGGTAAGGGAAAGCTATGTGCATGGGTCTTTATCTGCATATATGTATGTAGGTGTGTATATGTATATATGTATATATTTGTATGTATGAGTGCATAGGACATTAATGAAGGCAACCACATTCTCTCTGACCCCAGTGTGCCCCTCTTAATGTTGTGCACCTGTAGCCGTATTAATTTTGTTTCGAGGCCATATTTGTGTCTATGCCCAGTCTGTGGCATGGCAGAAGAGTGTATTCTTTCTCTGATTATTTTCCTGCTACATTGCTAGCTCGGCTTCCTTGGCTTTCTTGACTCAGTGCCAAAGAATAAGCTGTTGCTACATTTACTTCTAGATTTTAAGGACATTTAAAACTCATTTGCATTCCCTTCAATATTATCCTTGGTTTTAGAATCCAAAGGAATTCAGGATGCTCATTTCTTGATTTTTTTTTTTTCCATTTAAGCTCGGTTATCTACCATATACATTTAAAGACAAAAGACCATGGAAGATAAATTGTCACTGGAGATTTCCAGGGCTTCTGATACAGAGACTTATCTGTGTAGAAGCTATTGCTAAGGTTTAGGTTTTCGAGTAAACAGGGTGTGTCTGCCTGTACACTAATTCCAAAAACATCTTCGCATCTTAAATTTTACGCTAATGGACGGTTTGAGCTGTTGGCCAGGAGTAAAATCTATTTCTGTTTATTAGCCTCAACAGAGCCCAAGTTACCTTTTTTAAGAAAAAAAAAATACATGTGTGGTTGTGATGCATATGTGTTCTTCTGTCTTAGGGTGGGGTATTGGAGGGGGAGGGGTAACTCGTTCTGGAAGAAATAATCCTAGTTCAAGCTGTTTTCATTTAAATTCATATTATGCAAGAGCAGGTAATATACTTTTTATTTTAAATTTATCTATTTTCCTTAGCCATTAGAGCTGCTGGCTTTCAGTTAGTGTAAAAGAAATGAGGACATGGAATAATAAGGGAGTCTATTAAATGTTATAGTACCAGAGAACCATAGGTGGTGAAGAAACCTCAGTTCACTTCTCCAGATCTGTGAACTCATACTTCCTTCTGTTGTTTTGGCTGTTTTTTTTTTTTTTTTTTAAGGTGTTATAATTTGTGTTACAACCTGATTTTGCTGGAAACAATAACAACAGCACATCATTTTTTTGGAGATTAACAGTTCCTTTGAAAATGGCTACTCCGTTTCTTCATCCATCAACAATAGTATATTTAAAATATAGCCACGCTATGGCCAAGATAATAAGTTAAATGCAAACTGGTCATGATTGACTTCCTCTTTAAATCACAAGATGAGGCTTGAGGTTTCCTTTATTTTAATAAATTACATAGATGTCCTTCCCACCCTCACCCTCCAGGCCTGCCTCACTACTTTATGTTTCATTTAATGGAATACATTGCCATGTATGAACATGGCCCTTAAATCTGTTCACATTGTAACTTCTGTTTAGATGCAAGACCTTCATGTGTTAGAAAATTAAAAGAGCTCTAGTCTTTATTTGTGTCCAGGTTACATGTGGGAAACAAAGGGCTAGAAAGTAAAGTAGGTGGGACTGTAACCCTGTAAAAAGAGACACTGTTGGTGTAAAAACCTTAGCTCTGTAGGAAAACTGCGTTTCCCTCATCAGTATTCTTTTTTATCCCCTCATATTTCAGTCTATAAGGACAAATTCTGCCTTGAAAAAAAAAAGGTGAAATTCTGTGCCTTTTCTTCAGAGACAGCTTTTACTTAGTGGCATCCTGTTTTAGTCTTTGAATGCTGTTATTACCTCAGCTTGATAATAAGTACTTTTCTTTGATTTCATATTCATTAAGAGTTAGACCATCATTTTATAGCATAATTTAGCTTAATGTCACCCCTCTTATTTTGTTCATTTTTGAGTTCACAAATAATTCATGGATACATTCTTATAAAAAAATTAAAACAGTACCTCTCTGATTGCACAAGTGGGGAAAACTCAGATACCAAAAGTTATTTGAACTCATGCGCTCACATTAAGTTACTGGGATAGAGGAGGTTTGCCAGGGTCCCAGAAGTTTCAGAACTTTGTTTAACCCTCTGCCTATGCATAAAGGCACTCTTCTGTCTTAATTTCTTTTTTTAGGATTTTATTTATTTATTTGAGATAGAGAGAGGGAGAGAGCACAGCAGGGGAAGCAGTGGAGGGAGGGGGAGAAGCAGGCTCCCTGCTGAGCAGGGAGCCTGACGTGGGGCTTGATCCCAGGACTACGTGGGGATCGATCCCAGGACTCTGGGACCATGACCCGAATTGAAGGCAGACGCTTAATGGACTGAGCCACCCAGGTGCCCTCTGTCTTAAATTTTAAATTCAGTTCCAGAAGTCACGATCTCTCCCAGCCTGAGATGAGTCAGGGAAAATGTTTGGAGTTGGAGGGAATTGAAGGATGGATTTTATTCTTCAGCAGCTCTGTGTTATGCTGGCCTTGATCATTAGGGGGAGGTAGATCAGGGATGAAGGTGAGAGGGCAGAATATGTGCAGAGCCAAGCAACTGCATTAGCTGAACCCCACCCTGATAAGGGGCCCTAATAAAAGGTGGAAGGCTAAGGGACGCTGGGACCTCCTTCATGTTCCGAGATCTTCAAAGCTCCACACATGTTTATTGAATGGCCCCTAACTTACTCTGGGCAGCACTAGTCTGGGGCTGGGCTGGGAGCGGCAAGGTTGTTATTGTTTAAAATTGAAGGGTTTCAGTGCTACTGATTCCATGCAGGAGTTCTTCAAGCCCTGCTGCCATGTAACTATATATTGGTCACTACACTGTAGGTACTTCTTTGGTTCATTTCCAACAAATATCTGAATGGGTTTAAAAGCACTGGGTGTTTAGCATCAAGTATCCAACACTTTCATAATCATTAGGTATGCTTTTATTGTGATGGAGGCTAAATGAGAGAGGGGTTATATTATGCAATGTAGTTTCTAGAACAGAGGTCATAGGTCAAGGGCTTCATGAAGATTCTAAAAGGATAGACTGTTGAACAGTGTGCCTGGGATGTGATGCTTTTCAAAAAAATAAAGAAGTTCAGGGAATTTAGCACACCATAAGCTCCTCCAGAAGATTCACAGATTTATTGACAGAATAAAAGCTTTCAAGTTCTGCATTGAAGACACACATTTATCAATCTTTCTAAACAGGGAACCAGTTTGTGTGTGCCTCCTTATGTAACACATTACCTATTAACATCCCATGGGACTATATTCTGCTGAATACAGTCATGGACATTCAGATTAGGGATTCAGGAAAGGGGTCTGCTATCCCTCAAAGTCCAGGGTGAGCCTCTGGGGTGAGCACTTGTTCAGAGGGATACTTATATAACTAGTAAGCTAAGGCAACTTAAGGGAAGGGGTGCCAAACCTGATCTTATTACCAAATGAGGCTGCCTTAGTATAGATTGTTGTGAGAACCTAGTATTTGTAGAATGGAAGATTGCACAGTTTTTGTACCTGTTGCATCCTCTGTGGTCATAATGACTTGTAACCTATCGTAACACCTGATCAATGACAATGCTATAAAGTGCACTTGCCATGAAAGGCCTCATGGATATGCTGAATACATCTTTAGTTATTATGCATTTATTGATTTTACTTTGGGAGGGACTTTTAAGGAACTTGTGACTTGGTTGACTTCAGTTAGATTAGATGTGATTCTCTACTATTTGGATACTTTTCAGACAGGTCTCTCAACATAGTGTTAGCAGGGTTTTGTACCCTTTCTAGCAACCCTATAGGCAGAAAGAAATGCAAGAATTAAAGGTACTGTTCTCAGGCCTTTGCAGTGGTGGGGCCTCATCTCGCCTCTGGTCATCTAGTGAAGCCAGGTGATATTTGGTGCTTCCTTGGTGGATGAGACAAGATTTGTTTATCCTTTGAATCATGGGGCAAGGTGGTAAGCCAAGAGAAGGAGGTCCAAAGCCCCAATTCCTGTTTCTCCAGAAGAGTATCTGAGGAGTAGATCTTCCAAAGTGAAGATTCTTAGAAACAGTAGAAACTTGGGGGCCTTTATATTCACTTGAGTCAGCCCTAAACTAATATCTAAGATTCTGAAGAGCTCTGATGGCCTTTCCTACTGCTCTGTGTTTGACATAGACATCCCAGCCAAACAGAGTCCCAGGGATCACTTACCTTGATTCTATCACTGTGTAGACAAAGAAGCTGAAGTTCCGAGACATAAATGGACTTGCCCACAATTCCATAGTTGGTCCGGGTAGCTTGGAAGGAACCTGGGTCTTCTTTCCCAGGCCAGAGATTTCCCCAGAGTGCCTTACTGTCTTGGTCCTCTCCTTGCATGACTGATGCTTGTGAGTCTGCAAGTAGGTATTGCAACATCGGCTTTGGAAAGGGTTATACCATTTGTGCCCTTATTGGCAGTGTATGAAAGTTCCTGTTTTCCCGTACTATCACCTGCACAGAATTTTATTCTTCATCACTATTAATTAGCAAAATTTTTGTTTTGTTTTGTTTGCTGTGAATGCCATCCTCACACTGTTGAGTCTCTTGTCCAGACAGTTTATCCCTTTGAAGACAGGGAGTGACTGGTTGATTGATTGGTTGAGCTCCTGCTACATGCCAGGCCCTGGGACAGGTGGTGGAGATAACAGAAGTGAAGCAATCCCAGTATTTGCCCCAATGAAGCCCTTAGAGTATAAACAAGATATATGTTATGGATATTTTATAAATACTACTAATAATTAAGTCCAGTGAAGGAAGAGTTCTGGCTCAGGATAGGCCCTCAGTGCTAGGAGTCAAGTAGGAACAGAGGCTGTGGAAGCTCAGAGAACAAGGTCCCTCTGCCACATGAATCTGGAGGCATTTGATGGGGTTTTTGGAAGTGACTGGGAATTTGAAAAATCTGGTCAGTGGCAGTCCAGCCAGGAGGAAGCTGGTAGTGCCAAGACCTGACTTCTGGTAGAGCTCTGCCCCCGTGACAGCCACACCAATCACTTTCAATCCTCCAAAAACTCAGAGCCCAGCAAGGCAGAT